GGGCTGGGGGGGGGTCTCTGCTGAAGAGGGAGGGGTGATGTGATCCGAGGGGATGTTTGTGATGTTGGGGAGATGTGAGAGACCCTTTGGGAAGCTGGAGCTCTCTTGTAGAGAGTGAAGGACCCTCGCTGCGGGGTGGGGAGGGGATGCGGGGGCAGAGGTTCTGTATTTCATGGACAGATGATGGAAAAGTGGCTTAACTCACCCATGGAGGAGTCTCATTCTGAGTGCCAGGCAGGGCACTGCTCTGGGGAAGCTCTGATGTTGGGGAGATGTGAGAGACCCTTTGGGAAGCTGGAGCTCTCTTGTAGAGAGTGAAGGACCCTCGCTGCGGGGTGGGGAGGGGATGCGGGGGCAGAGGTTCTGTATTTCATGGACAGATGATGGAAAAGTGGCTTAACTCACCCATGGAGGAGTCTCATTCTGAGTGCCAGGCAGGGCACTGCTCTGGGGAAGCTCACAACTTCCAAGGTCCCACCCTGGGAACTAGGCAGGGCACTGCTCCGGGGAAGTTCACAGCTCCGGGGCCCCACACTGGGAGCTAGGCAGGGCACTGCTCCAGGGAAGCTCACAGCTCCAAGGTCCCACACTGGGTGCTAGGCAGGGCACTGCTCCAGGGAAGCTCACAGCTCTAAGGTCCCACACTGGGTGCGATGCACGGCACTGCTCCGGGGAAGCTCGCAGCTCCGGTGTTCAGCCCTTCGAGCTGAGAAGCAAAGCTGCCAGCTGAACCCTGGCCTGCATCGGGGGAGGGGGTGAAATCAAAGGGGGTGCGCACGTTTTGGGGGCTGAAGGGGCATCCTGGCCTTGAGCTGTTTGTTCCCAGGGGTCGGCCACCTGCTCTTCATAACACAGCGTTGTTCCCTCAGCCGCCCAAGCTTGCTCTGAGGCAGGTGTTGGGGCACTGCATTGAGGAAGCTCACAGCCACCCCTCCTGCTGCTGCCCCCCATGTGCCCTGCGCCAGCCTTGCCAGGTCTCCCTCGGCCGTAACCCCCCAGCACCCATCAGACAGAGAACTCTGCAACTCAGGGCACGAGTGAGCGGCTGCCTCCGTGTGTCTGCGCCTTCCTGCTGTGGTGCCCGGATTTCATCCCCTTCCACGGCTCAGACCTTTCCCCACTGGAGCACCCCAGCTGGGGCTAGCTTTTGCCCCCACCCCCTTGCCAGGTTCCCACCTCCACTGGCCCCGAGCCCCCCTCCCGTGGCGCGTCGCCGGCGGAGATGCCGGGATACCTCTGGCAAAGGCCCATGTTCTCCCAAACGCCCGCTCCCAGGGTGGGGTGGGAAGTGGGCAACGGGCCAAGGACAAAGGCAGAACAGGCTGTTCTCTGGCGGGCAGGGAGGAGGGGTCGGGCTCGGCAGCTGGGCCCCAGGAGCACGGGCGGGTCTGGCCACAGCAGCCCGAGCCAGGCTGGAAAGGAGCCGGCGATGCCGGGGGTGCAGAGACAGGAGATGGTCTGGGTAGGAGCTGGAGGGGGAGTGAAACTGGGATATTGGGGGGAGCAGCAGGCACCATAATAGTCAGGGCGCTTGGGTGGGATATTGGGGGACCAAGAGTGGGGAGTAGGCAGGGGCATGGGGATACTGGGGGCACAGGGAGGGAGCAGGCGGGGCACTGGGATATTGGGGAGTACAGAAGTGGGGAGCAGGCAGGGGCACGGGGACATGGGGGTACAAAAGTGGGGAGCAGGCAGGGGGTACTGAGATATTGGGGGACAGAGGTGGGGAGTGAATGGGACACTGAGGCATTGGGGGTACAGAAGAGGGGAGCAGGCAAGGGCACTGGGATATTGGGCCACGGGTGGGGAGCAAACAGGAGCACTATAATATTGGGGTACAGAAGTGGGGAGTGCGCAGGGGACACTGGAATATTGGGGTACAGGGATGGGAAGTGGGCAGGTAGCACTGGGCTATTGGGGGTACAGAAGTGGGGAGCAGGCAGTGGCCAATGGGATATTGGGGGCCATAAGAGTGGGGAACAAACAGGGGCACTGGGGCAGGGTGGGGAGCAAACAGGAGCACTATAATATTGGGGTACAGAAGTGGGGAGTGCGCAGGGGACACTGGAATATTGGGGTACAGGGATGGGAAGTGGGCAGGTAGCACTGGGCTATTGGGGGTACAGAAGTGGGGAGCAGGCAGTGGCCAATGGGATATTGGGGGCCATAAGAGTGGGGAACAAACAGGGGCACTGGGGCATTGGGGGTACAGGGGTGGGGAGTGGCAGGGGGCACTGGGACAT